TTTTCTTGTGCAAATACCTCATCGAGTAGATCATTCCTCAACTGGCAGAGATAATTCGTAGCGCAGAGGCCTCTTTCCCGTTTTGTGACAGAGAGACTGCTGATGCTGGCATTCCAACAAGTTTCACCCTCGAGTCTAGCACATCTGCCACCTGGACAGCATTCGCAAGGATCCGGGACGGATCCTAGGAGACATCTAGACGAATTATCAGGGCACCTGGGGATTCACCATAAATGGGGAGATATTTATTATTCATAAATTGCAATCCCTTATCTTTAAAATATATATATTAACAAAATTTAATTTAATTAGATTAAGGCCCGGGTGGACTATCTATCGAACGTCGACTTTTGTTTAAATTTTATCTTTTTAACCTAAAATACATTAAAATTTGGGATCAATTTTGTGTTGCGGGAAGCACTTGAATGGACATGAAAAAATAATGAAAAAAAAGAGGAAAAATTATTGAAGGGCGCTAAAGATAGATATTATTTAAAAGGGATTTACCAAGTTTGCTAAAAAATAATAAAAAATACGTAGCTTACTATTGCATCTAGCTGTCACTCAATCTTCTGGAGAGCAATGGTAAGCTGCGTAATTTTTATTATTTTTTTGTAAACTTGGTAGATCCCTTTTAAACAATATCGCTCTTCAGCGCCCTTCAATAATTTTTCCTCTTTTTTTTTCATTATTTTTTTATAACCATTCGAGTAGCTCCCGCAACACAAAATTGATCCCAAATTTTAATGTATTTTAGGCTAAAAAGATAAAATTTAAATAAAAGATGACATTCGATAGATAGTCCTGGGCCTTAACGAAAAAGATCTTGCTGATGGAAAACGATATTTATATTTTCAATTGATGTTCATTTAAAAATGAATTGAAATCTAGATAATTAATATTTTGTTAATATTGTGATTGCGATTTCAAGAAATTTCTAACAGTGAAATCGATTTGTCCAGTGATATTGAATTAGGGATGATGAATTACCTGTACAATTCGCACACACCGCAGTCTTTCAGGCCCATAACATTGCTAATTGTATCATCAGCGCAAATTTCAATGCAAAACCACAAACTGAGAGACAGAAATGCGATGATAAATGGAGTGGAATAGGTCATTTTAACGACTGACCAAAACGCAAAGATGTTCTGGACAGTTGCTCATATGGTGACGAAGATGAGACAGAAGCGAGAGGGAGTGATTTCATTACAGAGTGACAGGGTTTCTCAAAGAGGAGATTACCAAACCACCGAGTGAGAGTTGCATTTCACCCGTTATGAATTTAATCCCATCTTTTTGATTTAGATCCTTTTAGTATTCTAATTCCTCGCCTGCAGCTTTAAATTCAGCTCAATTCAATTAGTTCAGTCATTTAATTTAGTCGTTCGTTATAAAATCTTGTATTGCATTGTTATTACTCAATTATTTTTATTGAAAGATTTTGCACATATTTGATCTTTCCTTCATTGGAAAGTTGGAAACTTCTGTTAAGATTAATAAATTTTGCATGTTTTTGAAGCGAAGACAGATGCCTATATAAAATTTGAGATTGATTCACATCGTTTTGTGGTTATTAATTATTAAAGCATTGAAAATTTACTATTAACGAAGATAAAAACGATGGTAAAATATTCATGATCGACTAAAATTTTTTAAAATTAAATCCCGACTGGACTATCGATCGAATGTCATCTTTTGTTTAAATTTTATCTTTTTAACCTAAAATACATTAAAATTTGAGATGAAATTTGTGTTGCGGGAGCTACTCGAATGGTTATAAAAAAATAATGAAAAAAAAGAGGAAAAATTATTGAAGGGCGCTAAAGAGCGATATTGTTTAAAAGGGATCTACCAAGTTTACAAAAAAATAATAAAAATTACGCAGCTTA